CTTGGTTAAGTCCATGGATAACGCACCTCTGGATCGCATTCTCCGAGAACATCTCCCGCTTCAACTCTTAGCTCCCTGACCTGTCCTTTGCCGGGGCTATCACATAGTTGGCCACTCAGTCTCACACATGCTCCGTTCGTCAACCTGGGGGCCAGCCACATGAATTACTAAGTGCCAACTCACAATGAGACGTGAAATGCGTAACCAGCTCACCTCTTTGCCAGGCTCAGGTTCCCTGACTCCGATTCATTTGCATGGACGAACACAGTTTGTAGTCCTTTGCGTTCACTTCCGTCTGTGATGACAGCGAACGAAACATTCTTTTGTCGACGAATGGATTTTACCCAGCCATTTACTTCTATAGGCGTTGGAGGAACCACATGAGATGGGGATAGAAGTTGGCGGATCGTTGGTGGAAGGATGGAAGTTGAGGCGAATCGTCGCAGGATGAGCGACATTTTGTAGAGCCGTAAGTTGGCGACGAAATTTGAAAATTGACACAAATTACTCGACAAGTTACAAGCCATGAACAATTCTGAGTCAACGCAAAAGGTACTGGAAGCTCAAGTATATACAGAGAGCTTGTTATGGGAAGAGATTTGCACATTGACAAAGACAGTAAGAAAAACGATACAGACAAAGATATCCTCGCTCGGCGTACACGGTTTCCCGATGACCAGAGCATACGCAGGTTCGGGTGTTAATGGGATTGAAGCTCCTCCATATCCAGATGGACAGACCCTCACCGTCCCCTACCCCGTCCCCTACCTCTACCGCCCCTCATAGGACCACCTCGATCACCACCCCTCCCTCTTCCCCTTGCACCCCTGGCAGCATCCTCCCTCTTCCTTCCTTTAGGCTTGGGCGCATCATCTACCAGCAAAGTATCGAGGGGCAGCGCATCGGGTAACACGAAATATCTGATATTGTTCCCTCTTATTGAAAGGGAATCAAGAGTGGAGGGTTCGCGATTCCTCGCCGTCAGTTTTACGGTTTTGAGATGGGTGTTCATTTGCATATCGACACCTGGGAGGTGCAGAGGCAGACAATGGGAGAAAACAAGAAATGAGATGATTTTTTGTGAAAAGAAGGGGGAAAGGTTAAGGCGTACCAGTGATTGTACCGTGGACGATGGATCCATTCTTGAGCTCGATGGCTACTGTCTCATTATTGAGTTTCATCAAAAATCTGAGAAATCGAACAATGTTAGGAGCGCATTGAGAGAAATGATGGGCCAAGCCAAAAGCCAGCAGCCGCTCGCATCAGGACTACCGCAAGATTTGAAGGCAAGAGGCCTGGTAAAGCAGATTCAACGAATGTACATACCTTACGAGCTTCATATTTTCGGTCGCCTTTCACCTTGGTTTCAAGGATGTAGGTGATTCAAGGCGATACGATCTTAGTGCAGTATGGGCAACGAGGTCAAAGGCAGGAGAAGCTAGAACCTGATCGGAGTTTCAAACTACTTGAACATAACCGCCAGATTAACCAGCACAATGTTCAGACCACCACCACAATACTTTGCCTATAACTGCACCAATCTTGTGATTTCTCGTATCGGTAAAATCGAACCATGCTCGGAGGCCGTCTTGTCCCTGCTAATCGACGTCACCGCTCAATTCTTTGCAATAGTATCGAAGTCGTCATCTCGAGCTTAGAATGTCTCAGGGTCATGGACGTGGTCATGAACTCCTCTCCAAGACTCGTTGGGATAGCAGCTTTCGGACCTTTTCTGATGTGATATCCCAAGCTAAGGGAGACTTTGTTCAGATTTCGCTGCGGCCCTTCGCTGCTAGTTGCAATCCATTTCCATATCTTCGCCGAGTTCTTTGACCAACGTCATATGAGAAGGCACACCAACCAGTTTCAAATATCCACCAAACTAGCATCAATTTGCCTCCGAAACCCCCAACTAGGTCTCGATAGCTGTCTTCTTTGGGATGTAGCGTGTAGTTGTCCCACCACAATAGGTCAACGCAAATCGCTGAGTTTTGTTCATCGATCCAGGGTCAATTCTCCTGAACCCATCCATTCGACCAGAGGCGAGGCCACGGATCTGATTCGTCCGGAACACGACTATCGGAGTCAGAAGCAGGTGTCCTCAAAGCATCGGTGAGGTGAGTTTATGCAAGAAATCTATATCTCATCCTAAAGCCCGTGACTACGTTTACTTACTTGGCCCTGACCAGGTTGTCGGCTCTCTGTCAGATGGCGGAGAATTTACGCCGAACTCGTGGTTCATGGAAGAGATGTTGAATCGTCCTCCATCCTTTCGTTTGCTCGCAGAAAAACAGCGACTGGACATCAAGAGGTGAGCCGAATAGTGCCGTCTCCTATTACAACTACCACTCCACTTACTACACCCCGGGAATGATTATTCCCTGGCACCACGGGTGCTGTTTGACCCGCCTTTCGATAGCAACGTGGGGCGGTCTTAGTCTTCACCTGGCATTATGGCAACCGCAATCGGGTCCGACTGACGAGGAGTATCTGCTCTCAGCGTCACCGCCCAAGATCCTTAAGGTTATACTTATGCTGCAAAGGGCTTCGAAGTTTACTGGGCTTAAAGCAGTTCTCACCCCATCGCAGAACGATCAGAACGTGAGAATTCACCGTCGTGTTTGCGCCACACCCATACTTATACTAACCACCTGCTGATAACAGATATCCGATCGAGTATCATTTTCCTCGACCTCCAAAAACTTCTGCATTGGCGACAGTGTCAATGCAGGTGTCTGGATCGACACACGTGGCTGTAGTTATTGGGCAACCCGTTCACTTCACTCAAGGGGAATTCACTGGTCAGACTATCCGTGCAGTACTTTCTGAGATCCAACAACCTGAAATCGGCCGCAAGTGCGTTTATTATGATCATCGTCCATCTTTGATCTGTGGAAGGTTGACCTTGTTTTTTTAGATATGCCAGGAAGGACAGACGACCACTGGACCCGCCCCCAGTGGTTGAACTGAAGTTGTTTCGAGTATACCATCTTGGCACGGACAGGCAGGTTGAAGTGGAGATGGAAAATTACAGGTAGGTGGAATCACCATAACTCTCGTGGAACGAGCTAGGTTGACTCCATCATGCTTCAGTAATATCCAAAGTAGTGGGCGGCTATGTCATGTAGACTTATTCCCCGTTCCCGATCCATCAGGTGCGTCGGTACGTCGACTCAGCCAAGTGTTAAGCAGTCTCATCGAGTAATCGTGCCTTCATATTTTCCCAGCGACGCAACACCAGGCTGTTGCTTCCTCATCCACCACTCTAATAGATCACACGGATCTTGGCCTTGGTATGTCGTATCAAAATTCGTCAGAGTTTGCTACACCATCTGGTTCAAATATCCCAAATCCCATCGTGGACGGCTCTGTTTTTCTATACCCTATCGGACCTCGACCCGCCCATCATATCGCGCCCCCTTTTCCAAATCATGAGCCTGACGTCGTCGTCCAGTCCATCAGCGAATCCTCCCATCGAGAAAATCTCAAATGTACTGAAGCATTGTCAGGGACGACCTTCACCGAAGCGGTCTGCATCGAATACGAAGGGAAAGAGAGGCTGATGCTGATATTCCCTGTTTGTCATTTAATTGCCTGTGCCATTCCTCGTCACATGTATCTAATCGATGTTGAGTGTAGGACCTTGCAGTAAAGATGATAGGAACTTTCATCCTGCGATATCGCTACTTCGACATCTTTGCGAGATCAGAAAGTAGTGGCCCACATGATTTACCGATTTTGGCAGAGTGCCTTGGAGGACCTTTTCGCGTGTTTTCCACGAAAGAATTTCCAGGGCTTGGCCCTTCTACTGCTTTGACCAAGGTATGACGATTGGGAATATTTCTTTGTCGCTGAGTTTGAGTCAGTGTTGTAGCATATCACTCGGTGGGGAGTACGTGCGAACCTTAGGGATTCCGAGCGAAAGCGAAGGAGGCCTGGGGAGATACCCAATTCTACTATCGATCCACCTGTCGCGAGCGATTTATCACCATCTGTCGATGTTGCTCCTGTATTTGAACCCCCCTCCGAGTGGATCCCATACGAGTAGACTGCGGTCAAGATTGGTACGATATGTTGCGGTTGACGATGGTATCTCTTCTGTTGCAGTCAGCAGCTGGTTCTCCAGTACAAGACACCCAAAATCCAGATGAGGGTTTCTTGGAATTAGAAGATTGTTGTAGCGGGTAAGTCCGCCGACCGCTGAGTTAGACTCATCGTGGCTGAAGATCTCGCCAGACAGTCGGCCGGGGCGCACACGACGACTCTCGAGAAATCGATGCCGAAGAGGAGTCAGTTAATGAACTCTGTTTCATCTGGCTCTTCACCACGTTTTGAGGGTTGTTGGGTAAATTTGTCAACGCGGTTCGATTTTGGTTCACGGACGATCTTAATGCGGTTGGCAAATGTGGAGAAACTGACCTGACTTGCTCACCTCGTCCAAGGGCATGCGAAGCTGAGCAGTTGGAACGAATCTCACGGAATTTCCACCGCGTCCCCTCCGATCAAACGGGCAGACACAGGGATGATTACGCTGTCAGGGAGGACACTCCCTCATGTAGGTTTACAAAAATATCCTCAAAATCGCGCAGAAGTTGAGCAAAATTTTTTGTTGTGTTTATGGGTTCTATCAAGGGTAGGGCTCTTCGGATGCTGCTCTGCTCAAAGTTGATACTTATCTCTTTTACCAGCCGGCTTCAGTTTCGCCGGCGCACTCTAACAGCCACGAAAGCACGGATGATCTTCCTTCCAGCCGATTCTTTGGAGACTGTCACCTCGGATCCTCCAGCGCCTGGATTTCCGGTTCGTCTCTATAAAAAATCGTCATCGGACGGGAAAATCACATTGCTAACGGGTTACTGGGTATAGCCACCTTCGCTGGGCTATGTACTGGTGGGAAAGGGGACGGAGGACGACCCAGCCCGCTGGTCCATTATGAATGCAAAGGAGCTTTGAGGAAAGGTCAGTCCATCGATGTGAGTCACTATCCTGCGTAAACGCGAGCATTAATGGGTTAGTGGTAACCCGGGACGTTTCCATCAACTCGCCGGGGGTTCGGTTCCCCCTCGATGCATACACAGAGCTTTCAAACATCTTTTTGCCTCCCTCATGCAACCCCGGGCAAGGTTGGCGAGTGAGAGTTCGCATTTTGCAGTTAACTTTGGTCCTCAATCGATATTATTACCGATGGACTCGGTCATTGCATGCTGCATGTAGGCTTTTTCTATATATGATCCACTGGCAACTTTCTATGATGATCAAGTCTTCGCGTGGTATCTTCTTACAACCACCACCAAAGCACCGACCTGTCAACTCGCTGCGATACCCCTGGCTCCAATGCAAACACGGCTATCATAAGTCAGATATAGAGGCCGCACCTCAAAAACTCTGATCCGGAACAAGAAGTTCGAAGGAGTGGAGGACGAGTCGTAGCTCCCTTTCGGAGCATTGAGCACCAAGCGAACGTGAGATCATCGAGGTTGAAGTTGAAGTTGATATTGAGTTGAGTAGTAGGTAGATGCCTAGGACTGAAAAGGACTGCGGGCTGGTAAGTCGATATCCGGAAGAACAAGTGAAGGCAGATTTACCTCCGTTGTATTAGTAGCAGCGGTGTTATCAGCACAGATCACAAAGGAAGAACCGCCACCAGAGGTAGACCGGTATATCAACATTTCATACATTACCTCCTTGGATAACGAGACGCGAGCCTGACAACGGCTACAGCGGGGGAGACAACCTACATTTATGATTGGAACGTCGTCCGTCGTCCAGCCGTGTAGGTTTTATAGGACCAGGGCTGAGAGTGGAAACGACGCATAATATGTCAGTCGGAGAGAAAGTAGTTGTGATACGTGCCGGGCCAGGAGAGTCGGAGGAGACATAGGAAGAGCCAAGGGGTGAGGATGCGCAGAATGGATGGTCAGTACATCAAGCGACCGAGCTACCCTTGTGGTATTTTACTTGGGACTGCAGAATCTTAGATGGATGCGCAATCGCTGAAAATATAAAGGTTACTGTGCTTTTTGTGAGCGGGAGCTTCAAGTTCAAGTTCACGAGGATACGATGGCAAACCCAAAGCGGAATCCCACGTGGATTGCAAAGCTCGGCAGCCTCGTGGCGATTCCGCTCACCACCCCCTCGTCCCAGCGCTTGGGCCTGCAGCGAACCACATTGACTACGACAGCCTTTCTGTTGCATTAATCACCATGCAGGCTCCACATCGTCCCAGCGGTCCCGCACGATTCAACACATATCATGGGCCAAAACGCCAACTGTTGGGAAATCATGCTGGGCATGCAGCGCCTGCTTGGCGCTACAACAATCCCCTCGCGAATAACACTGGTCCGCAGACCTCACGAGCTTTTCAAAACGGACCACATGTTCCCAATCGAACCAAGACGCAGGAGCCGGCAAAGGGGAGCAAGGTGATGGTTAGTAACTTGCCTATGGACGTCGGGGAGAAGGAGGTGGAGGTGAGTACGTACATGCGCGGTTTGATACACGAGTTTTCATCTCATTCTTTAATATCTGCGTGGTTGCTATTGAACAGGAGCTATTCTCAAAGACTGTTGGTCCACTGCAAGAAGTGTTCCTTGTGTACAACTCGAATGGGCGGTCGAAAGGGATTGCTGTTGTGACGTTTCAACGGGCTGGGGATGCACAAATTGCACGGATGAAGTATCACCACAAGATCGTTGACAGCAGTGAGTCTCATTCTGGAGTTACCTCGTGCTTCATATCACTGAACCTTTTGACCAAGAAAAACCCATAAAGATTGAGATCGTGATCGACGCAGATACCCCGACGGCGAAGGCCCCCGCAGCAGCTCCTCCACAACCTCCTTCGCTGTTGGACCGTATCGCGGGGGCGAAAGCAGTGGCACCAAAGACGCCAACGGCGCCTACGCTTCCTCGGAAGGCCCCTGTGGCTCCGTAAGTTTTTACTGTCATAATTCATTATACTTGAAAATCACCGTCTAATGTTGGCATCCCGACTGGACCAGACGACCTCGACTGCAACCTCCACATGTAGTGACACATCAAAATCCAACGCGTGCAGTGGTGCCAATTGCCCGCCGGCGCCAGAAGAAGGGTCCGAAGCGTGTCAATAAGATGCTTTACAAGTCTGTCGCCGACCTTGACAGGGAGATGGATGATTACCGAGCTGCGGCGGATGTGGACATTGACGGGAAGGATGATGATGATTTATGATATCCAGATCTCGTGTGATTCGTTTTAGTCGAGTTTCCCCCCTTGTTTAGTCTTTCTTGGCTTTTGTGTATACTCTCTTAGTCTGCCACACGGTTCGATGGTCCCTCTCCGAATCCGGAGACTCCAGATTATGAAAAATCTTTGACGGCGTACCGCGCTGTGAGTATTTGTCGCATATGGGGCCCGGACCGACGACCGAAAGGGGTGCCTTGGCTGGGCGAAAAGTTTGGATTGCTTGTCTTCTCCCGAAAGACGCAGTGGACGTTCTGCTCGCATTGCTTTGCTTCGTACTTGCACCGATTTATGAATGGATCGCCACGCCCATGACCAGCAACAGAAGGACTTCCTCTCTTCCTTTTTTGGCACAGACTCCTCCTCTGACCAACTCCAACGTCCACCCGACTCCATGCAACAAAATATCTTTAATTCCGCCATGTCCACCGCACCACCCACACCACAGCCCACCATGAACATGCAGTCCTTTCAGCAGTCAAATTCCATGTTTGGCGCCGCCGATATACTTGGGAACATGATGCAAGGTATCGAGACTCAGCAAAATCCATGCACACCACAAATGGTACTCGAGCAACAACTCCGGTTGGCCAAGCTACAGCAATTGCAGCAGTTGCAGAATCAGATCTTCCAGCAGCAGGTGAGTCCCTTTCGTACTTTGCTCCCAGTCGTGCGAGGGCGGTGGCTCCGAGTATCGCACACCGTGCGACGCCGTTATCGAAGCTATTCTGTGCACCAGTTTTTCCGGAAGAAGAATGTCTGACTTTTGTTCTGCGTCAGCTCGAACTCATCAGCGGCCAGCAGAATCCAAGTTCTCCCATGTCGGTGGATGGACCGAGGGATCCACCTTATCACGGTTTACCAACACCCAGTGCGTGATATACGTTGTTTGTCCTGAGTAGAGTCGCTCAGCGTTTCGTAGTCTCTTCCACTGAACTGCGCCCACAACCATCAACGGATTTCGTTTCCCCGATGATCCTTCACTATCAGTCACAAGAGACATCTCGGAATGAACTACCTCCCTTCATGAATCACCATACGTCTCCCAACTTTGGACCTCATCATGGTTCCAGTTATCCCTCTACCTCTACCTCTGCTCGATCCGCCCCCGCCAACCTCGCTTTCAATACTTCACCACCAGTCTCCCTCCACTCTGGAGCCGACTTGGACTTCGACATATCCCCTTTGACCAGTCCGTGGTTTGGAGCCCAGACGGGCCCTTCTTTATCCATTCCCAATAAACGAACGGCTTCTTCCAGCGGTGACGAGGCTTCAGGAACTTCGATACGGAAACGCCAATCACCTGCCATCCGTCCAGTGAATCCGATGCCAGGTTCGAAGAAGTCTATGAGGGGTACCAAGAGTGCCAATTCGACTCCTTTGTTGAGATCGACGAGATCACGGAGAGGGAGTACAACGGCTGACGTGCCCGGCGATACACCCTCCCCAGTCGATCTATCGATGCCACCACCTGCACCACCACCGATGCACGGCACTAACAATAACAACAACAACACTACCAGCCCAAATCCTAATATGGGCGGTATGATATCGCCTCCATCCTCCTCAAGCTCGGGAAGCCTGACGCCACTTGCCGCTCACCCTAACTCTAATGGCGTGGTACCCAGTAACCAGAATCTCACACCGGTCACACCTGCGAGTATCATGAACTTGGGTATCGACTTGAATAGTGGGTTGTCACGTCCAGGGACGTTGAAAGCTGATTTGAGGGCCAAGTCGCATATGAAGAGCAAGTCTGTTGTTGAAAACGCTCATGGTGGCAAGCTTCCTCTTCGCAAGGACTCTGCAATTTCCCTGGTCAGCCCGAGCCTCAAGCCGATTCTTCCTGGTATGTTATTTGGAGTCACACCACTGACACCTGTCGTTACTAATCCCGATCCTTTGGTTTAGCTGGTGGATCGTCATCGTTAAACACCACATCAAACTCACTCCAAACTCTTCCCGGTCGAAAGACTTCTCACAAAGCCGCGGAGCAGAAGCGTAGAGATTCGTTGAAGACCACTTTCGACGATCTTCGCATGTTGTTACCCCCGATCCCGCTTCCGAACGGAGAAGGTTTCGCCGACGAGCCCGTTTTACCAGGCTCGATGCCTCCCCGTGGCCCTCCCAAGGGTGAGGGACCTAACAGGGGTGTTAGTAAGTTGCAGCTACTCCGATGCGGTAACGAATATATCAGACAACTCAAGGGACGAGTGGAGAGGAGGGATGAAGAGATTGGCAAGCTAAGAAGGGAGATTGTGAGATTGAGAGGGCTGGTGTCGACTGTTGGGGAAGACACTGTAAACGAGGACGAGATGGTGGATTTAGAGAAGGATTTAGACGCGGTGGAGATTGGTGGTGCGGGTTTGAGAGGTGCGGTTGGGGATGGGAATGATGCTGATGATGACGATGATGATTGAACGTTGGTTCGTGGATCGTATTCCCATCCTATCTCCTGGGTTTTATGTACTCGGATACCTTTGATTTGTCTGTTCTCGCCTCAGATACTTTTGCCTTCACCCATCTGAGTGTCAATTAATGTATGTAACTGGACTGACAAATTTGAATAGTACGAGCTGTAACGTATGGGAGGGATGCGAGAAAGTCGTCTGAAGATATCCAAGTTCTCAAACTGCATGTCGGTGATATGGACGGAAACCGTCCTATCCGAACCCAGCCTCCATCTCCCTCGGTATAGGTTCCTCCGAGTAACTGTAGGGGCCGACCGTGCTCGAGATTGAGGTGTGCAGAAGTGAACCCAGACGATTTTGGGGAGCCGAAGCGAAGCGTATTCCTGAAAATGATTCAAATCCTTGTCCGGCATAGTGGGGGCGATACGATGCCGCTCTCA